GTGGCAACAATTTAAGGTAAGAATAAATTAATTTTTATTAATACTTTAAGGTAACAATTTGAATGTTTTAGAGTTGAAGTTAGAGACATGTTTAATTTATGTTGTTTGATAGTTGGTTGTTTGATTAGTTGGTTGAATTGTTATAAATATTACTGTTTATTTTGTAGTAAATATTGAATTTGGATTGTTATACTAGATGTTTGGTTGGTTGTTAGGAGTGTGGTTGGTTGTTAGGTGTTTGATTTGCTATTTTATTTGGCAGGCGGTGTAATTAAAAATACGGCAAAATTCTGCTAAACATTTCTCAAATTTGCGACTGAATCAGTCGCAAATTTCACCAGAAATTACCCTGATTTATGACTGATTCAGTCGCAAATTGAGAATTTCTGAAATTTATTAATTAATTAATACTCAATATGTACGACTATTTAAGTCAGAATAATTAACTAAAAATTAATTTTATTATTTAATTTTCCGACGTAATCAGTCGAAACTTTTAATTTCTATTTATTTTTTTAAATTCTGGTCAGCGATTGAATCAGTCGCAAAATTAGCGACCAATTCGGTCACAAATTTTTGATTGATTATGTCGCAAATATATTGCGACCACGTGTTTTTCGACTGACACTTTTCAATCGAAAATCCGTCGGAAAAATACGTTTTCCGACCGATTTTCGACTGATTTGACTGCCGCAAATATGCTGTTTTTTTAGTAGTGCCGGGAATTAATATCAGGATAACTAATCCCAACATAACTAATTCCAATATAACTACTCCCAATATAACTTGTCTTTAAACCAAACAATCCCTTACTCTTATTTCATATTCTATAATAAACATAATTTAATGCAAATATTAATTTAATACTATCAACAAACACTGCTTAGTTATACGAATATGTTATAATCTTCTCTTATGCAACCAAACAACCGCTACATTCCTTATTGACATACTCTACTATTTATCTTATGTAACCAACAATATACTGAATTACTTCGTGGAGGATTTTTTTTACATTAATTATTTAAACAATTTAATTAATGAAATGACCCTAATAATATACTAATTATATCTTAGTATAAAAATTTAAGCCCTTCATATAAACCTTGTAAAAGCGACATTAACTTCCCATCTAGTTGGTTCAAACTAATTTTCCCAGTGCTTCATGCTTGATCAGAATTCTCCTCGAGTAACCATTTAAAACCTTAATTAAAAAAACAGCCACTACTGCAGTATTGTTGTAGCAAGCGGAAGCGGCCCAAAAGATTAGCCCGAAGACCGTCCCCACGAAGTATAGCATATATAGGGCTTGATCTTATCTGCATAAACGTGTTGCATGGTAAGCTAAGTGTCAAGAAATTGAAAACGTGGCTTAGGAATGAAGTAACCAACGCAATATACCATTGACATCAGTCATAAACATTTTTGTCCAAACTGTCAACAAAAATATAGACATACATATAGATATATAACTATTTGTGCTTCTTAATTCAAGTGTTTCTGAAGAAGAAAAATGGCTTCATCAATAGGACCATGGGTGGGAGGTGGACGTCGACGAGGAGCTGCAGATTGGGACATGATTAGTGATCCTTTCTCTTATGATTTATGGGACCCTTTTGATTATGGGCTGAGTGGCGGATTGAGTGGCTGGGGGCTCGGCGGCCGTAGAGGCGGTGAAGATGACGTCTCTGCTTTGGCTCATGCTAATGTTGACTGGCGTGAAACCGACACTGCTCATGTTTTTCGTGTCGATCTTCCTGGTTAAGTATCTAATCTTTCAACTCTCCTCCTCCAAACATAGAAAAATACTTTATACGCTTGAAAAAGAATTAGGTCTTGAAAAGTCTTGTTAGTCCTTTTCCTCTTCTTATACCTACTATACAAAACTAAACAAAAAATAATGGGTGTTCTCTTGATTTATTTAATTTCTTCACAAACATATTGTTGCTAGCCCAAGCTATATATCAATCCCCTTGGAATTCTTTGCACTCTCCTTTTACAAGAATGATATCACTTCTTTAGGCTAAGCTAGTCCCCAGACATGTAGGCTTTAGGTCAAACTTGTATGGTATAATTTCCTTCAAAGATTTCACTTCATTAAAAGTGCTCGCACACCCAATACTCTTGAATAGAAAAGCTTATATCCTTACCCAACTTCTATTATATATATACATATAGGAGTTGACCTTTTCTTGGAAAAAACAAAAAGGGTTATTGAAAAGGAGTACTATACTAGGATATATAGAATGAGAAAGAAAAATGTGGAAGTGGCAACAATAGGGTGCATAGTAGGACTATGCGCCTTATATTCAGAAGGGTGTAGATTTGCGAGATTGTTACTAGTAAAGCTAAGTGCAATTTTTCATGGCAGGGGTGAGGAAGGAAGATCTGAAGGTGCAAGTTGAAGATGGGAACATACTTGAGATAAGTGGAGAGAGAGTGAAAGAAGAGGAACAAGTGGACGACAAGTGGCACCGTGTGGAGCGCCGACGAGGGAAATTTATGAGGAGATTCCGGCTTCCAAAAAATGCAAATGCAGAAGAGATCAAGTGTGGGCTTGAACATGGTGTTTTGACTGTAAATGTGCCAAAGAAGGAAACACAGGTGTTTACAAGAAATGTTAGAGCCATAGATGTTGCTTAACAACTTGTCTTTGGCTGTCTAATGTATAAATCAAATGCTAAAGTTACTATCGTTGTGCGTAGTGTGTATATGTGTGTCCATAGTCTTGGTGTGTGCAATTACCAGAATAAAAGCTATCAGTTGTACTTATAGCTACTTAATCGGTTTACCTTCACATTTGAGTCTTAGCACCGCTAATATTCTACTTTGTATCAAAAAAATCTGGATCAGGTGCACAAATGCGTTGCATAAAGTATTATTCAAATTATCCATCCCCCAAAAGGATGAACCATGAGCACTTCCAAGTACATCTAATAGTTCCTATTATATCTCAAAACTTACTATAATCAAAAACATCGGAGAGCTGCAACCATCTATAAGATCAGATTTTTTTTTCAATTAAGTGGGTGGAATTTTATAGATGGCATTTAGAAGATTCAAAAAGTACAAAGCTGTAAGACGGATTATGGAATAAGAAAATATTGAAGAGAGCCCGAAGATCACGGGTTCGAACGGTGTCATTTGGCATATAGGTGGTTGGAGGCTTGGTGCAAAAGCTATAAACAGAAACCTCGTTACCCTGAACTATAGCTGTCATCTCATGCCTGTAGCTCTGCAATGCAATCATGTCCTCACTTTAGCTAGTCCAAATTTTGGTGGTCATAGATTTCATATATCTATAAGAGAATTTACACAAAACATGCCCTCAACAGACTCAATTCCCTCTCAATGAACAGCAAAAAAACTTAGCAGCTAACAAATCCTAGGGTTATCATATGAATAGCCATGACCCTTTAATTACACATTAACGACGACGGCAACAAACACAAAAGTAAAACACCAAGCTTTGACAGCTAAACACGAAACACCAAACAACTAGTTCCTCCAAAACTCTGGAAGGTCAAACTAACCCAGCTAAAATAATCAATCTCCAATTTAGGGCCATATGACAAAGATAATGATCCAATTGAACACTATATGGAGCAGTAAAACACTATGAGCTGAACCACAAACAATATTGCGAGAAAATTTACAAAGTAAAATGGTAGGTCGTAACTTGATACACATGCTGAGCATAAATTATGCTTGCATAATCAAGACAAGCTAAAATCAATCTCCTCTCGAGGCATTTGTCACTCATATTTATCACAGCCAAGAAAATAAGTGCCAAACTAAACTTACCTGACCGAAAAAATAAACATGTACTTCCCCGGGCCCTTTCCCAAATTGAGGGGCTGAAAGGGGGTGGAAAAATGGTATTTACCATCCCAACCTATAAACAAAAATCTAGAGACAAGATCAAATTTCAAGCCACATAGGACCTTCCACATCAGAAATCAACTTGGACTCACCTTAATTACATCCAATGATATGCACACCTGCAAAGCATAACTCCTGAAGCAGAAATTTTTGTAAAAACCAGTGTTTTAAAAAGCGTGGACGTACGGCGGGGCGTTTTACATATGCCTCAATGGGGCGTAAGTCCCGAGGCGCGGGGCATAAGCCTCATAGGTATTTAATTTTTAATATTTTATAAAATAATATAATGACAGTTAATATTTATAAACAGGTAAAATTGCATAAAAATTAAAGAAAACTATATATATGTGTGCTCCATCCCTACAAAAAATTAATCAAACAATCTATTATACGTTACTTACAAGCATAAGTAATTTGAATCTAAAAGAATAATGTTTTATATATGGAGGAACAAAAAGGATGATTAACCTGCAATTTGAACTTTGTATTTGCTGCTATGAAGAAAAATATAGTTCTCTTTGTATTTGTAAAAAAAAATTAAATATTCGTTGCTTTTGGGAGATATTAGCAGACTAGCGGACAAGATAAAAATTTGAGAAAACCATGAATTAGAGCTTAAATCAATAAAAAAGGTCTTTACTTTTAAATTTAATACTTTTAAGTTCCTTTTTAAATCTTTTGAGTAATTACCAAACTGACTTTTGAGAATTTGGGTTTTATATGTAGGACCAAATTTTGTTTTAATTTGAAAAAGTCTCTAGGGCTTACTCCTTACTAAAAAAACGCGCCCCGAACGCCCAGGTGTACGCCCCGAACGCCCGGGCGTACGCCTCTTGAGACTTTCGCCACACACCATCGCCCCGGGGCGTTTTTGGTACGCCCCGCCCCGGGACGAGCCCCAAAAACGCCTTTTAAAACAGAGGTAAAAACTGCTTATGACATAATCCCGGAAGTTCAGTCAAAATTGCTAGTGACAACTTTTTTTTTTTGGTCTTGTTTTCAATTAAGTGAACGGTTCGTTCTTTTTTCATTTTCTTTTACTTTGAGGAGGTCAGTGGGCGGGTAGATTTTGCATTACTTGAAGATATATGCTCAGCTTCTCATTGATTCTGGCAAGATAGCAAATGAAAGAACACCAAAATTCTTTGCATATTTAAGAGGATATGTATCTCCCCAAGACTTTAACATATGTTCCTACTAACACACATAAGATTGCACAAAGTATTCCAAGAAAAGAAAAATAAAAAACCCCATTCTTAGAGTTGCCCAAACTGCTTGAAGTTACAGTATTACCTGCCACAACATTCATGTTCCTGGCATTTATTCTCAACTTACTAAAGCTAGACATGCGCTTAAAGGCCCCATTAACAAGAGGACTTTCAGCAGCTGCAGCAGGAGTGGTAGGTATAGAATCCACAAAGGCCCACAACTGAGAGGAGAACCATGACGGTGTACCATTATCCTGTCTGACTATTTGATTCTGATTTGCGCCCATATGATGATTTGCCAAATTACTATCATACACAACACCTAAAACATTGCCAAAACTTGCAAAATTAGCGAATAAATCTAACACCACTATATTAGCAGCAGCAGAGCTCTTGCTGGCTCAAACTCCCCCATTTCCACTTGGGCAAAAGAGTTCTCGCCATGCTGAAGATGACATGGTTATTCTATACCATCATCTGCCAAGAGCTCATAAAGTCAGCTCACATAAAAAATGTGTTTTAAGAAAATCTTGAAAGAGCATTAGTACAGCATAAGACAAGCAAAAGTGGCAGTATTGCTGTTTGGGATCATTTGGGTACCTGATGTAGCTGGAGGAACAACCAACTGATTTGCCTCAATGGGGTTATAGATGTTAAACCTTTGATCATGTGTCCACAGTTGATTGCTAATCTGCTCTCCATTATTCAAGTACATTGGCTGGTGATTCACCATTTCATTCTGAAAAGTGCTTAAATACGTTGTTGAAACAGGATTTACGGCACCATTCACAAAGTTGTTCATGTATGGTTCAGTAATTTGCCCCACATCAGTTGTTCTAATATCATCAAGAAGTAAGGGCGCGTCATGATACAAGTCAAATTCTGTCAACCCATCCAAGTAATCGAATTGCAAATCCTCGAAGTTTCCAGCAGGCTTATCAAAGTTTTGACCACTTGGTCCGGCCTCATCAAAGTTTTTAACACCCAGCTCTGGGTTATCAAAGTTCTGAATGCTTGGCTCTGGACCAAGAAGGTCATTCATCTCCAGATAATCTTCAAGGAAATCCTCTTCCACCACATGGCACTGTTGTTCACGACTAACAGGAGCAGATGTGACCTCTGGTGCCTCATGCAACTGTAGCTGTGATGTGCCAGACTGTGTCAGGTCAAAGCTTTCCTTCGCATGGTACTGCTGGCAGCTTGGGGAAATCACAGCACTATGATTGGGAAAATTAATTTCCCCTGACGAATGATCTAGCAAGGTACTTTCAGTATCTTCCTCAAGTACAAGCTGCTCTAGGGCATAATCATAGTCTACACAAAGTGGCTCAACGAACACAGCGTCAGCTGCAATATTATTCAAAAACTCCTCAAGTCCACCATCTACAGAAGGAGCTTCATTAACATGCTTTGCCGAAGTGTCTTGGCGGACAGAGGCTTTGGCACTTGGGCGTTCATCATCAACCAGGCGGACAGAGGCTTTGGCACTTGGGCGTTCATCATCAACCAGGCGGACAGAGGCTTTGGTACTTGGACATTCATCATCGACCCAGTCCTCTTCTCTAAAAGGTGCACCATACTGCTCATTATTCTTAGGACCAGGCCCACTTTTCTTAAAGACCTTGTAAAGCGCATAGTAGTCATGGACATTCTGACACCTTTTCAGCTCTTCTTCATCCATAGTATACTCATGCATCACCCAGTCTGTCCGCTCGCCCACTGGTGCTCGGCCTTTATAAAAGACTAAGGTCTTCTTAACTCCAACAGCACGTGAGTTGCACGTAATAATTCGATCCTTTCCCGTAGCTTTCCAATACCCGTGCTTTGTTGCCCTGTTTGACCGTGCTCCATTAGGATACTTTCGATCTCTGGGGCTAAAGAAGAACCACTGCCGGTCCCCAGTTTTTAATTTAGACAGATCTGCAGTTCAAATTTGCAAAATCCATAAGTAGACTATTCAAAAGATTAAAACAGTTCATTAAAAAATATCTACCATAATATGAGTACAAAGCAGCAGCAGTTAATTTTCAGACAACTAACAAGTATGAATAAGACAATATCTAAAGTAAGGAAGCAATTTAAAAGGAAAACGCAAACAAAAGTACAAAACACAAGAAAATGGAGGAATTTGGAAAATAACAGCATTACGAATGAGCACGTTTACATCATTCATAGATAAACTCCGGTGAATTAAATCTTGCTAGATCTGCATGCTTATATGTCCTTCAATCCATACAAATTCAACTATAATTAACAAAACAAATACAGCTGAAGCTAATCCCACCCCTCCAAGAAAAAAAGGAGAAAAAACAGAAAGGAAAAAACAACAAATGCAAACAAGTAAAAGATATAGGCCACAAGCACACATCCACTGAACTAGGATAAGTAAAAATAATGTAAGCAAATGATCCCGTAATAGACCAGCAAGGACCTGTGGAGCTCAACTATACAGCAATAGACCTATAAGCATAAAAATGCACACCAAATATAGAGGATTCACACATGGGCGGAGGCAGGGGGCGGATGGTGTTCATCATTCGCCGAAAAATTACACTATATATACTAGGTCAAAGTTATATTTATGTACAGAGTAGATGTGGAATCTACTTGACTTCTTCGTATGTTCACCTTTTTATATTTTGAACAAAGTTCTGGCTCCGTCATCACTCACTCATTCACATATACAACCCAAAACAAATTAAAATTGAGGAGTTGTTTTTGCTGTTATATGGAACATCATCTATCAATCCGCAAACGCCTCAGGACAAGGAGGAAGTGTGGGTAATGGAAAATGGGAAACCTCAGAGAAATTGTAGCACCAGACAACGCAATCATCACGAAATAACACTCTAGAAAAGTCACTACAAGACGTAGATAAATCACAGCCCTCAACAATGAACACAAAAGCAAGCACTGTATAAATCAAAAGACACAGCAAAACACAAACACAACAAGATGATCAGTTCAAGTCAACGACCCAAGAAAATCAAAACCCCAATTTGAATTTCATATCAAAAACCCAAATACGAATTATCATGTTCATACCAGGCAAGTCCTCAGGATCCCATTTGTACACGTCAGTCTCAGCGATGGCATCCAGCAGAATCCTCTTCCGACATATCTTCTTCTTCAAGTAATACAGTACAAGTTCCTCGTCTGTCGGATGAAACCTAAATCCCGGCGGAAACACATTCTTTGCCGACCCAAAACATGCAAACGAGTCCGAATCAGTTAACTCCAACATCTTCATCTCTTCAACAGTCCAAAAAATATTACAACCGCAACAATGATACACTCAATTGAATAACCAAATGGGTATTCTAAAATTATGAATCTGAGATTGAATATGTATACCTCAAGAATTGATCAAAATTGAAACCCTAAGAAGAGATAAAACGGATCCTGGGTTCAATTGGGGATTGGTATTTTTGTTTTTGGTCAAATAAGAGAGAATAAAATACTAGCCGCCAGGGCCCAGGGGGTATTTGAAGAGTGAGTGGATAATTTGGGAAGGTTCTTGGAATTTAATATAGCGAAGAGGGGG